GTCACAGGCAGGGGTGTGATTACAGAGGTGGGTCTCCTACTTGCCCACATCTCCATGTTGTCATTATGGACTCATGGTAATCCTGCTGCCTGTATGTTGTTGAGGCTACAGCTTGAAAAGCACAAAGCGACCGTATCAGGTCACCGTGTGGTTGATCTTGTTGTTGCTGTCTGTGTGTTCAGCTTCAGAGAAACCTGCTCACTCAGTAAGAAACGCAAAACCAGGAGAGAGATGCTGTCAGAGAGGAGGATCCACGAGGAGTACGCGAAGCTGGGACCCATCAGGTGTGTGCCAGAGCTGAAACGATGCAAAATAATTTCCCGAAATTCCAACTCTGATGTCAACTCTTCCACTTTTTATGTATATTTAAAGGACTAAGTTCACCTGTGTGTAAATATAAGCTATGCATTTGCATCTTACTCACGAGCCCAGACGTGACATTTTGTCCCCATCGTGTTGTCACTCATGTAATTGTTGCTGACGCGCTTTTGTGGATTGTGTGTGCAGCTACCCAGAGGTGGTGACAGGTGTTTTCTTCATCCTGATGACACTGCTGTGGTTCACCAGAGAGCCTGGCTTTGTGCCCGGCTGGACGTCGCTCTTTGAAAAGTAAGTACTGATAATGTCGCGCCGGATCACCACAAACGTTCAGAAGTGTTAGTGGTCAGACACTTTAGGGAAGCACTGGTTCTCCGTGACAAATACACACCCTGTCAGTAGGTATAATTTAGGGGTTGGTTGTAGCTCAGGCGGTAGAGCAGGTCATCTACTGATTGGAAGGTTGGTGGTTCGATTCCTGGCTTCCCCTGGTCTGCATGCCAAATATCCTTGGGCAAGATATTAACCCCAAATTGCTCTCCGATGCATCCATCGGAGTATGAATGTGTGTGAATGTTACTTAGAAAGCACTTAGAACAATGTGCTTGTGCGAATGGGTGTGAATGGGTGAATGCACAAGTTGTGTAAAGCGCTTTGAGTGCTCAGAAGAGTAGAAAAGCGCTATATAAGAACCAGTCCATTTACCATTTACCATAATAGACACTTAGTAAGGAGTGCTTATGCTCTGTTCATACGACATATTTTTGATTTTTGGCCTCTGTTAGAGCACTTTTGCATTATTTGGTACTCAAAAGAGTCCTTTTAGCTGTTTCTCCCTGCATTTTATCGCCTATAAAGAATATCTCAGTGACATCATACAGAGCTAGGACTTGTAAAGATCAGTGTTATACTGAGATAGAAAGTAAGGAAAAGCACAATAGGTCCCTTTTAAAGCATACACAAAATATTTTACATTAGATTTTATGACATAATAATAAATAATAATAAAATAAATACAAGTAGTTTAATAAGACTTTGACTGTTTTATATCTGTGTATTCTTAATTTCTCTCTCAGGAAAGGCTACAGGACTGATGCAACGGTGTCTGTTCTTCTGGGCTTCCTCCTCTTCCTCATCCCTGCCAGGCGGCCCTTCTCTTCCTCCTCTTGCTGTAAAAACTCAGGTCAGGAACAAGCACTCGAGCACCTTTGGGTTGTCTCATCAGGGCCCCATTTGGTGGCTTTAAAACATATTGAATAATAAAAAAAGGGCTCAGTGATGTTGTTCGGCTAGCTTCGTTAACATTCGTATACTACCTCAGATTATTCTAACAGCACATTACAGATGTTGTGAGCCATTCATTTGAGATTTGGTCAAATAAATGACTTTTCAAGTGTTTGTCAACCACAAGTATTACATGATATTATTCCCCCAGATCCTGCTCTATTGACATTTTTTTCTGTCATTTTAAAATATTAGATGATGATTCAGAGTCTGACCCACTGGCTCCCATGATCACCTGGAAGGACTTCCAGAGACTCATGCCGTGGGAGATCGTCATCCTGGTTGGTGGAGGCTATGCACTGGCAGCGGGCTGCAAGGTACTACGAATATATGTCTGTGTGTTCTTGTATTGCTCTACTGCTCTGGCATCATAGCATCTGGGTAATCTGAATCTGCGATCCATTTTCACCATTATAAATTTCTTGATTACTTTGGT